TACGAATACAGGCCCAAAAAAATAAAAATAAAAAAATAAATCCTTGTCTAATTTCGTCACGCGTGACACGCGAGTAAATATATCAAATTTAATTTGTTTAACAAAAAAGTCAGTTAAAACTTAATAGGCTCTCTCTGTATAAGGCTTTCGAAAATTCTACAAAAGTTGTGGTGTAGGTCCCCCCACCTAGCGTTCGCCAAAGGTCGTGCTATGCTGTTTTTTTTTTTTTTTTTTTTTTTTTTTTTTTTTAATTAAGGGGAACTGTGATATGCTGTGATGCGAGGTGTTGTGCGTTGATGGCAAGATAATTACCGTAAAGGTTTTGTCCTCTTTTAGCCAAAAAAAATAAAATGATGTTATTTTTTTTAATGAAATAGTGTAATAACGTCATTTCGTTTGTTACTGGTTAAAAAAAAAAAAAAGCAACGATTCAAACTCACTTTTTTCTGAACGGAGCAAAAAAACTAGCGTGCGTACGAATAGTACTCTGCTGGTAGTAGCTGCAAATCTCTTAGCTCTGTCATCTGGGCTTATGCTATTGCATAATACTCGCGCTCTACTTGTCTATCCATCATGATGATACGCAGTTTTTCTTGCAGTCTCCTCCTCCTCCTCCTCCTCCTCCTCCTTCTTCTTCTTCTTCTTCTTCTTCTTCTTCTTCTTCTTCTTCTTGTGATTGTTGTTCTTCTTCTTCTTCTTCTTGTGATTGCTCTTCTTCTTCTTCTTCTTCTTCTTCTTCTTCTTCTTCTTCTTGTGATTGCTCTTCTTCTTCTTCTTCTTCTTCTTCTTCTTCTTCTTGTGATTGCTCTTCTTCTTCTTCTTCTTCTTGTGATTGTTCTTATTCTTCTACTTAGAAAAGGAAAAAAAGAAAAGAAAAAAGGAGACGCAGTGCAGCATTCGCATGTTTATCTACGTTGTGCAGATAGACGTATTGAAGTAGTGGCGCTTTTCTTTTTTTTTTCTTCCCGACTTCTTCCTCATTTCCTAATTTACTGTATGTGCTTTTCACAATGCAACAGATCGTATGTGATGAACTCAACCGAAGACTCCTGCATCTACTGTTTTCGAAAATCCTCCGGCAAAGGGGGGCAGGGGGAGATCGGACACATGCCGTGTTTGTCATTCAGGTTTGCCCCTCCTCCTCCTCCTCCTCCTCCTCCTCCTGTTGTAGTTGTCTCTCCTCCTTTTTCTCCTGCTTCTTCCGCGTTTCTCGATCAGGTTTGCCCCTCGTTCCCCTCCTGCTCCTCTCTCCTCCTTCTCCTCCTCCTCCTGCTCCTCCTGTAGTCCCTTTGTTCCTTAGTTGTTTCTTTTTGTTCTTCTTCTTCTCATCTTCTTCTTCTTCTTCTTTGAAATTCTTCTTCTTCTTCTTCTTCTTCTTCTTCTTCTTCTCCTTCTTCTTCTTCTTCTTCCTCTTCTTCTTCTGCTCCTCCTCCTCCTCCTCCTCCTCCTCCTCCTCCTCCCCCCGTGAAGTGGATGCGGGAGTGTGACAAGCCCTTTGACAAGTCCTGGTGAGCAACCAGGGGAATGAGCGCGTTGAGCTGTTTGTCTGTGTAGGTGCTGTAAGGATCATGAGCATGGACGCATATATAGCGATCGGCGTGGCTATTTCAATTCAATTCAATTCAATTCAATTCTTCTTCTTTCGTTCTCGATTTTCTTCTTCTCATCGCTCTTCTTTCTTCTGATTTGTCAGTGGTCTTCTTCTCCTCGTCGTTCTTCTGATTTGTCGGTGCGCGTGTGACGGCCACTTCATTTCTCTCTCTCTCTCTCTCTCTCTCTCTCTCTCTCTCTCTCTCTCTCTCTCTCTCTCTCTCTCTCTCTCTCTCTCTCTCTCTCTNTCTCTCTCTCTCTCTCTCTCTCTCTCTCTCTCTCTCTCTCTCTCTCTCTCTCTCTCTCTCTCTCGCACACACACACACACACACACACACACACATGCACACTGTTCACACAATGCTTAACCACAACAATCCACGAAGTTGCAATCTTATGGTGCTCTGAAGATGGGGGGGGGCGAGATTGCAACTGCGTGGAAATTCTTTTTCACGCAATGAAATTGGAAGGAAAGGGCTGTCCATATTTCAGTTTCAGAATGTTGCGTGCCTCTGACAGCGGGACGTCCGCAGACAACGGAGGGTCTCACGAATCCAAGTATTTGGCTTTCTTTGTAGGGTACGTGCATGATTGTCTTACTGTTTGGTTTTCGTCCATACACGTGGGCTCAGTGCATTTCCATTGAATCAGATCCCATAGACATTGCTTTCCGAAAGAGGAAAGTTTCGGAAAATAATGTGGAAACGGACGGGACGGGACATGAGCTGTTCGCCCGTACGCCACTCTCCAAATGTGCATTTAATTTACCACATTTCCGAATCTTCGCCGTCAACAAGGGCAGATACATTGCCATGTTTTTTGTCTTTTCGGCATGTGGAGAGCTGTGCAGCGAGCCCCCGCGTCGGCGTTTTCCATTGCCTTCCACCCCTTTGACACCGTTGTGGGCTGCCAGTTTCCCGTGCCATGACACCATATGACACATTTGTGGACTGCCAGTTTCCCTTGCATCCACCGTAACGGTTATATTCACCGAAAGGTCGGCATTATACCGTTTCGCCTACTCTACTCTACTCTACTCTACTCTACTCTCCTCTCGTGCCATCGCCATCTCCCCGGCTGTCCTTCTTCTGCGGGCTGCATCAGGAGGACTGTGGCGTGGTCTGTCTGCCTGTTCCTCTCAAGCCACGTATGGCCACGGTGACCGTGTCCATGGCCTCAGGTGGTGATCCGACAGGCTTGGCATGCATACAGGACTGGGCCCCATAGGACTGGGCCCCATGCGCCTGAGGGCCGGGCTTGTCCTGCATACAGGACTGGGCCCCTGAATCTGGTTACGGAAGGCCTGGTGCTCTGCCACCCGTGCATGCACCTGCGGGGACGAGACTGTCCACGCAGCGTCGTAGTGTCCATATTTGGGACTCCGGTTCATCGCAGTTAGCAGGGAGCGAAACCCAGTACAGCTTTGAAGACACTGTGGCCCGGGACAGAAGTCCCATCTTCCAGGCGACGCAGGCATTTCGCGACACTGGAACATCTTTGCAGGTCCCTCGGGAGCGAGGTTCCATCATGGGACCAAGGTTTGGCACAGGCTTCGGTTTTGGAACCCCCCAAAGGTCCCGGCCACGGTGACAGATCGGCCGGTGACTGGTTCAGGGACTGTCACAGCGGTTGGTGGCTTCTCCACACCAGTTCAGCCCGTTGGTGGTTTCAGTTTCGGGGTTGGTGGGGGGAGGATGAGCACAATTTGCGGGAGGCTCAGCGTCTAAGGAGTCGGCGTTCAATTGCAAAATGGCGGAGGGCCATTCTCCTTCTGAATCACGGCATTGTGCACAGCAATTGCTATTCAATTCTGCATGTGACAACAGTCACAGCCGAGTCCCTGGAGCGCCAGCGGTCACGTGTGTCAACGACGTTAGCAGTGGATCTCATATTATGCAGAGGTGGGGGGGGGGGGGTTCCACCACGCCATCGGTGCCGGACGTGGCGGGCATGACAGGTGGGCTCTTTTCAAGTCGTACGCGAAATGGCAGCGGGGATGGACGATCTACCCAATCGCAGCGGCATGTGTCATCAGACGATGTCATCAACCGCCTTATCCGCGACAGCGAGGATGGCATTCTCCCCAGCAATGATACTGTAGGGACTGCAGCAGGCGGCAATGTGCATGCCAATGCGGTGGCCCCTTCACACACACCTCCGCTCCAGTATGCTGATCCGGGCATGCAGGGATGCACCCCTTCCCGGGCCGCTGCTCGCAGTCCCTCTCCCCACAGCCCTTCTGATGATGTCCATGAGGCAGAAACTTCCCGTGATGCCCGCCCCCAAGGACGGCAAGGTCGGAGTTTCACGGATACAAGGATCGGGGGGGAGAGGAGGAGACTGCATGGTTGTGCCAGTACTGCAATGAGGTGAAGGGGCTCATGAGTGAGGAGACCGAGGCTTACGGACAGTTGAAGGTGAAGGGAAACTTCTGGAAGTTGGTGGAGGCCCGCATGAAGGAGAAGGGTTATGATCGCGATCACGAGCAGTGCAAGAACAAGTTCCACCAAGTGATAGTCCTGAGTGATGGTCTGGTCTTCCAAGCTACTGGGACATGAGCACCACGAGACAGAAAAAGTACAACGTCGATTTTGTGCTGCGCCGCATAACCCACCACCTGGGCGAAGCTCAGGGGAACAGATTGTCAGATTGCACATATCAACAATGGTGGGCCATAGCCAAAGCAAAGAGCCGCCCCCATGCCCATCATTATCTGCATCATCGTCACCCAATGGAAGGCCTCCATTGTCGAGGAGGGGCAGCAAACCCTGGAGACTCCTTGTTGGGAAAATTATGACATATGGTATCGACGATGTCGAAAGCGTCCTCTGCCATCCTCCCTGGAGTCCCTGCCATAGCCGAGACCACGACCGCCAGTTCTTCACGCTCCCTCCCACTTAACCGTGGCATTATGTGACAAACACAGTGAACACAGTCGCAGCTGGCTCAACATCTCACCGAAGACAACGAAAGCCAACCGGTACGCGCGTATGCTGAGGGGGAGGGGGAGAGGGGTGGCTGGTTGTGGTTGGCTGATGCACCTGCTAGGAGTGGGTTGAGATGGGCTTGCGGTTGCTTGGTATGGTTGTGTATCACAGCAAAACAACAAAAAATGCATCCGGAACATGGGTGGGAACCGGCGTACTGTCTACCGGGAGAACTGTGGTCCAGAACCACGATTCCGCCAGACCAAGCATCCGCTGCAGTCCTCAACCAAGGATCCGTGCACTGCAGTGCTACCCGAGGTGCTCACACTCCAACTGCCCACGCTGAGGCTACACTTACTCGCTTTGGCACTTCGGCATCTACTAACAATCGTAAGGGTTCTTGGGACTGTTCTCATAGCACGGCCGGAAACGAAAAGCCACTGTTTCCACTCTATACAGCATGGGGCAATCGTACAGCAAGTTGAACGCATTCAGAAAAAAACACTTAGGGACAGGCTGGTAGGTGGCCATGTATTTGTGGACGTGCATGACCGATGTCCACAAAATCAGCCACATGCATATGTGGCAGAGGCCACACTCGATTTCCAAGCAATGTCGTCACCTAGTACGGGGACGGCCCGTCCGTACTCCTGTACGACCGTACGTACGGGCCCTCAGCGCCCGTACGGCCCGTACGTACGGACTTTGGGCCCTTGGTACGTGGCCTTCCGGGGGGGTGTTGAGGGGGTGGATGGGATGGGGGGGGGTCGGATGTCGGGGGGTACCTCCCCATTCAAAAAAAAAAAGAAAAATAAATTTTTTATTTCTTTTTATCCCGAGCAGGGTAACCGGCGTTCGGGACGGGCCCAACGCCCGAACGTACGGGACCCCTCGGGGATGCGTTCGGCTGTTCGGGCCGAACGCGGACCCCAAAAAAAAACTAAAACAAAAAAAAAAACACGAAATTAAAAAAAATCCTAGGCTACCAGCCGGGCCGCCCGGGTCCCGGGTGGCCAGCCCGTGCAAGGACCAAGGTAGGTCCCAGCAAAAAAAAAAAATAAAAAAAAATCCAAAAAATCCGAAAAAAAAAAACTATGTTATGCAGAAAAATAAACTGAACAACTTTTGCCTCAGGGTTACATCGAAATTCTTCACCAAATTAAAAATACAGTTTTTTTTGTTTTTTAATTTTTTTGGCCCGGCCGGGCAAGTGACCCCGGGCCACTCTGGTAGCCTTGAAAAAATCTGAAAAAAAGATATATTATGAATAGAAATCAAATGAACAACATTTGCCTGAGAATTACATCCAAATTCCTTACCAAATTTGAAATAAAAATAAAATAAAGAAAATAAAACTAATAAGAAAAAATTGAAAAATAAGAAAAAATGAAAACAGAACTAAAATTAGTGAGTGAGAGAGCACGTTTTCGACACCGCCATCTTTGCTGATTTTTCATGTTTTTTTGGCACAGACAAATACCCTGAAAATTTACAGATGTGTACTTCACATAATAAAAAAACTCATTAAAAAAATTGCAAAAAATAATAATTTTTTTTAGGCCCCGCAATAAAGTGAAAACAAAAAGTAAAAAGTGAAAAAAAAAAACAAAAAAAGTGAGTGGGCGAGCACGTTTTGATACCGCCATCTTTGGAGATTTTTAATTTTTATTTGGATTGGAAAAATGACTTCAAAATTTATAGGCATGTACCTCACATCATAGAGAACTCGCAAAACAAAATTCAGAAAAAAAACTTATTTTTCGGCCCTGAAATAGTTTTTGGCGGGGGCCGAACGCCGTCGGGTTCGGACGCCGAACTGGACCCCGAACGCCCGTATGTACGGAGGTCGGCCCGGGGACCTCCGTACGTACGGGCTGGTGACCCTGGTCCCGGGTGTTAAAAAAAAGAAAAAAAGATTGATTGATTGATTGATTGATATGCTGTGGGGGGGTTGCCTCCCTCCTGCGAATACACACACACACACTCACAAACACGTGCAACCTTTTTTCCTTTTTTCTTTTGATCGATTGATTGATATGCAGTGGGGGGGTCGCCTCCCCCCTGTGAGTACACACACACACACACACACACACACACAAACATACGCGGCCTT